TCTCCATGCAGTAGTAAAGGCGGTTTTCAAATTCCTCTCTCACCCGTTGAAAGGTTTCTCTAGGGATTCTTCTGCATGCGTAAGTTATTCGTTGTCACAACTCCACTTAATCTGCTGGTTGAGTTTTGAAGACAACATATTTTAGGTGCCTCCAGAGGAAAAAATCTGGTCCTGTCAAATCTGATGACCGTGGAGGCCATTCTATTGCTCCTTGCCTGCCAATCCAATGATGCGGAAATCTCTGATTCAGCCAGTTCCGAACATTCACAGCGAAGTGAGGTGGGGCTCCATCTTGCTGAAAAAAAAAGCTCATTCTCTTCAAGTACAAGATTTCCATTTTGATCCCGCTAATTTTCAACTTCAACCGTTATCAAGGAATCTATGATATCCTCCAGCAGCTCTAAATATACCTCGCCAGTCAAAGTCTCATTAATGAAAATCGGACCGAATACCGCATCGCCTAGTATTCCTGCCCATACATTTAATTTCTGAGGAGCTTGAGTATATCCCTCTCTAAAAATGTGAGGATTCTTATCACTCTAATATTGGACATTCTATTTATTGACTGCGCCATGCAGATAAAAACTACATTCGTAACTAAAGCAAATGTTTTTTATGAGGTTTGGGTTTGCGTTTATCATTTCCGTCATAATTTCGCAAAACTGTAATCTCCTATCAGGATCATCGTCCACAAGCTCCTGAAGTATCATTTTATAGGGATGGAATTTAAAAAGTTTTGTCACTTTGCGTACCGATGAATACGAAAGTCCAGTGGTCGTAGCAATCTGACACAAAGAACTGGTTGCATCGAAAGTAAAGTTCCCCACCACTTCAATCTGAGCCATTTCATTAACTATTCTGTTACCTTCTCTCTTCATATTTTTCACCAATCCTGTTGCTTGAAACTTCCGCACAAGTGGCGTGACATATTTGTGCTCCATTCGCTTATCTGGATGTCTCGCATTAAAAACTCTGGCAGTGGCGCGGGCACAATTCTGCTCCTCACCATAAATGAAAATAACTTCTACCCGCTCGGTAATAGTGTAAACCATTTTACAGGGAATAAATCAATTGACATCCAACTGACTGCAAACTACTTGGATTAAATCTAATCCGTCAAAACGGCTTGTAAAGATGCGCAAAAAATTGCAGATAAAAATGCATACAAAAAGAGCGATAGCGCGATATCAGTCATCACCGTCTTCAAAAACTGAAGCAAAAAATTTTAAGTGAATTTACGACAGGAGATAAATTGTTGAATGAGGAAGGATTCCTATTATTCTCAACGGTGGTTATTTTAAGAATCTATTATGATGTATGTAATTTAAGTCTATTTATTGCAATTTGTTTTTTTTCTTGAACCACTCTGTACAAAACAAAATAATTCTTACATGGTCGTATGGTAAATGTAAAAACCTTTCCAACGAGGGGTCACTCGGCCCCCCTTGCTATTGAAGGTTTTTGAGGTGGGGGCTGAGGGGGCCATGGGGTTGATCCGACAAAATCAGTTCTAATCTAAAAATGTGTCCCCCTAAGGATAAAAATTGACCTGTTTTTGGATTTTACCTGAATCAAGACGAGAACGAAGTTATCGAGGGCAGATCCTATTCAAAAAATCACCCTGTATATTGTCCTAGTGTTACTTTATTGGAACATTATGTTTAACAGGTAATCTCACAGAGAAAAATGGTTGCTTATATTTTTTAAACAGTTAACATGTCTTTATTAATCTCTATAAATACCCAATGTACTATTTATTTCAAAATATAGTGAACCTTCTTGATTCACTTACCTTCAAGAATAATCCATGATGCACAAATGAAAACAAACAAATACAAATTGATAGCTATAAACACCTCCGCTATTACTAAACAATTAAAAGATATTTTGTCACTGATGCGATGTTGGTATCGCCATCTGTCTCAAAATTTCGGAGTTAGTATCTAGAACGCTATTATACCAGTGTTTTAACGGATCGGTAGGTTCATCTGGGTTAAAAAAAGTACGGACAAAAACACTACCATTTTCGTAAATAAAAATACATACATCAAATATATCTAGTACAAAAAATATACAAAAAATTTATAATTTGGCTTAGAGAAATTTTGAATGTGCCCACAGGTATTTTCATTGTGAAAATTTTGACTTTTTTAACTTTCTTTTGTGAACTCATTGGAAAAGTCATACTTAAAATTTATTCAGCCTTTTCTTCAAAGCTGTTTAGAACGATTCGTCATTTCTCAATGATTTTAAGTAATTTATAATTGATTTAATTAAAGAAACTGCTGTTTATATTTATATCGACTTTTTGTAAACATAAAATAACTAAAACTGTTTCAAAACGCAAATAAGGTTTACAAATTCAAAAGATTTTATAGTAGTTTGTAATTGAAATTTTAGAAGATGATACGCTTTACATTGTAAGCTTGCCCATGACATAATGTTAAACCTAAATTACGGTATTTGTTTTTCAAAATATGTTAAAAAAAATTTCAATTTCTATAAATTTTACAGGGCGAGATAAAAGTAACTATTTATTGTGTATGTGGGCACCAAGTGCTAAGCGGCAAAGGGGTCGGAGGGACAGGCGTCCCCTTTTCCCCCACCTGGCTACGCGACTGATAAATTTATTCTGTGTAAATATTATCGAAATCTATATTATAACTGCATAACAACTGTTAAGTATCTTCTGAAAAACCTAATAACGTATTACTTTTGTTAATAATAACAATTAGTTTGTTTACAACTTTTAGAATATACTTTTTAAATAATTGTATTTATTGTATGAAAACTTTTTATCAAAATATGTTACAGTGAGTAGTGTTCTTATAAATGTTTTTATAAAAATGGTAGATTATGCTCCCAAAGGATAGGCAACACATTTTGCACCTGACATAAAGAGCACAAACCAGATACGTTTACTTCGAAAAATACCAGAAATACTGAATAAATGGACCTACAATTTAACGGTTTTAAGGTGTTTTTGTAATTAAATTAATATGGAAGTAATTTTCAAAGAAAAAAAGATGTGTGTAGCGAAGCGCGTTCAAACTAGCTAATTACTAAAAATTTAATGATAAAAGGAAAATCAAGCAAATTTGCATGCCATACATTACGTGTTGTTCTTCGTAAACTATTTCGTATATCAACAAGTCTTATTATCAGCAAGTGGTCAGTTGAACTGAAAGCAGCTCCAGTAATACAAAAATAATGTTAAAAACAATTAACAGCAAATGAAACTTCTATTAGTTAGCCGGTGATGCTACTTTACAACTTTTGCCTTCTTTCTGTTGCTTTTATAAAATTTTATATTTACATGCTTAGAAATTATGGTACCCATAGAATATTTGTGCCTACCCAAATAGTATAATTTGTTTTTAATATTTAACATACCTAGTGTTTATTAAAATTGTTACTTTTATGTAACTATTCCATGAGTTATTACTAGTCTCTTCCTAGAAATAATATAAAAATGTTATTTGTAAACTAATGGGTAACAAGTTACTCTTTTTTAATCAAGATTGGTTAATTATTTTCTTAAACTTCAGATTCAGTAACTTTTTAAATATCTGTTTTAGCATTTTCTTGAAAGTTTAGTTGATTTATTTATTTATCTTTGTAGCCAGCTAAAAACCCAGTAAATTTCTTTTTAATTTTATGTATTTTAAAATTGTTTAATCAACTTTGAAGCTTCAAAAAACCATTTCGTTTGACTCAATTTACTTTTTATATTATCAGAGCATGTAGGTATTATTCAGAGTTTTTCAGTTTTTTCTGATTTTTACTAATTTAAAAAAAAAGATAATTAATTACATTTATTTATCCAATTTTACATAAGTTTTTCCTTTTCTTCTTCATGTTCCTCTTCACTTTGCTGTCCCTTTATTATAATGTATTGGATGTGTTTATTTTTCTAATTACCTAAAAAAAAATTAATAAATTTTAGCTAATATGAATCTAAAGAAACTGATAAAACCTAAATTTTTTATAATTTGTTTATCAGTTCGTGATAACCAATTAATATATCTGTGGCTATTTGGCAATACATGATAACTCACTTTTTCGCATTTTACAGGATAACCATTTAAAAATTGTGTGTTTGGAAAATTGTTTTTTTCTACGCCCATGTCAGTAAACGTTAAAAATCGCACTGTCAACATTCCTTCTAAATGAAATTTAACAATAACATGCACGTAATGAGATCTCATAACATACACGTGCTTTTTGATAAAAAAACTTAAATTTCTTAGTTTAATTAAATTGCAATCAAATTTTTATCTACGTAAGACTTTATTTGGTTCATTTACATAAATTTAGTCAATTTAAAAACATAAAAAGTTTTAGCAATAGCGAGATACATTTTGGATTAAAAAAATTATGCCCCTAAATGTCGGCAACACATTATACATTATACTAAATATATTGTATTTGAACATTTTCTTAACTTTACCTATGAATATATTTGTTAGTAGTGAAAGTGATGAGATTATGAGCACTCCACCAGAGATTTTAGAAAAAGCTCAAGCTGCCACACATAAATTGCTACCGCTAAAATAAAAAAAAAGCCCGAAATTACCTATCGAAAATTTATGGATTAGCGACACAAGCATATGTCCTTTATTTAATAGAAGAAAATAAGTGGGCGTAGAAAAAGTATAGTACGTTATACGAGTTGTAAGCCCATTACGTACGAAGTAAAAAAGTTTACGCACGAAGCCGCGCAACGGCGAGTGCATCAATTTTAGTAATATTTACTTACAACTCTTGTTACGTAATATACTATTTTCTCAATTACTTTTTTGTTGTAATACCTTTGGTTATAGTTATATGTAACTTTTGTGTGATTATACATGGAGTTTAGGAAAGTGAAATTTGAATGAGATATCATGTTTTGCCAAGATGGAATGGGATGGGGTGTGTAGATATCAACTACAGATAAAATGCATATTGTCTTCTTTATTTGGAAAAAATGGAATAAGTAACAGGAAGTTCTTAACTATTTAGATAATATCTTCTATGGTGCTTTCATTAACATTCAAATTTTTGTAAAATGGGTCTATGTCTAAGCTCTCTTTTTTCTTAGGATTTATAGATTTGGGGCCGCTGTAAATAGGCTTTAACTCTGAATCATGTTTTCCTCTTCTTTTTATGTTTAAACGAGTAAATTGCTCATCTTCGTCATGCAAATATTTAACTTTAATAATGCCAAATCCCAGGTCTTTTAAGAACCGTAAAACTTTGATATCATGCCAACGAATATTTTGGCCCAATTCCGTGGCATCACGTTTTACAAACACCGATCTCAGAAAAAGTCTCCTTTTTGCATCTTAATAACTTTAAATTGTTTTCCTCTCGGACACTTCTGACAAACTGATACCAATCATGGGGATTTTGATCTCAATTTCCCCTAATGATTTTTTGCTTTCTCGATTCTCTCATTCCAGTGTTGAGTGAAGTGACCAACTTCTAAAAATATATATTCTATGACTTGCAGATTTTTACATGAATGTAAAAACCATGACATCGCTGCAGCCATAATATTATTTTTATTTTGACCATTTCAAGAATCTGAATAGAACACTACTTTAGTTACAGTTGATGGCAAATTATTTAAACATTTTTCAATGTAGGAAGCAATTTGGTCAGCCCCACGATCCGATATAGCTTCATGCCACATAAAACATGTATTTGCCGCATTACAATCGCTTACTGTATAGTTATAGGTCCACAACTGTCTTTTGTAGTAGACTTCGCCAGTTGTTAACGAAGAAGTTGGAATATTTTGCAGTAAGTCGAAAACCAGTACACGCTCATTTTAAAATTGACTTGCTCTTTCTTTGTCGGCTTTCTTTTAGTTATAAGCTTTTTCTACCAATTCCAAATGTTTCTCTTTCTCCAGAGTTTTCTCGTTTGGTTTTTCCTCAGTAGATGCACATTTAAGTTCATTTGTGAGCCTGTCATATGTTTTACATGTATCTATATGCCTTGGTTTTTAATTTTATAACCTGTTTCCCTGAATAGTTTAGCGTACATACTATAGCATAACGGTTTTTCCTCTCCTTCAGCCTTTCTATCATACATGTTGGCGACATTAAGGGTAGATGCTAAGTATAGCTTTGTTGTATGGCTTCTGGAGAATACTATGACACTTTGGAAAACTGTTAATGTATTCGATTACTGCTCCTCTTTTATTATCCCTACTATTTACTGGCTTACGTGGCTCCACTAAGTTTTCTGTAACTATTTCCGTGGCTGACTTCTGGTTTCTTTTGAACTATAAAATCAATTTTGCCTCTTGTAATGCTGTGAACTTTTTGGGACATAGTTTTGCAAATCTTAATTTCTGTGCCAGATAAGGTAGCAAAGTATGAGACCGTGATATCCCTATTCTTTCTTTTTCTGGTTTTAGTATCTTGACTTTTTCTTTCTACTTTTTTTTTCGAGAATTTTATTCTGCCAGCTAGAAACTGATCCTTGTCAGTGATATTTTTATAAAAGTTCTCGAAAATACTTTTTTGTACTTCTGATGATAGTCTCTCAACACATTTATAAAATTAACAAGTAGCGACAAGCTCAAATTCTTTGGCTGGTTTCACAATTCCTTTTCTTGTAATATATTCCTCTCCTTTTGATTTCTTTTTCTTCATCAATTCTTCATATTTTTCTTTTTTTGTTTGCTGCATACTATTATTATTCTCCATATCAGGACTTAATAGTTTACATCTTTTGGATAATACTTTGTTGATGAAAGGCTTATTATCAGAATCGTTACTGTCACTAAATGGTTCGTTTTTGTCAGATTCTTCACCTTCTAGCACAAAATCGGCGTCTCGGTCATCATCCACATTTTCAATGTCAGAATCATTTTCTTCTATATCTATCAATTCAGTAACTCCTGACACTTCATTATCAGATGGGTCACTTTCCTTGGACACAAAACTATTTGTTTGATATTTATCTTCAGATTTACTTATTATTTGGTATTGGCAAGGGATTTTCGCTGTTTGAGATACGTTATCCTCATTATTACAGCTTGGTCGAGAATACACTGTAAACTCTTTTAACTATCACTTTTTGATTTACAAATCGATTCTTCAGTACTTTCTCCATATTATTTTCACTATCCATTTGACATGTTTTATCACTGAGTACCCCTTGACCAATAACTTTCTGATTCAAAACAGAAATTTTTGGCAGTTCCACCATATCTGCAGATTTACTACATACTGGTTTCGCCATTTCTACCATACGCTTTGACCTTGGTAGTTTTTTGAATTCGTTATCCATCTGAAAGAGAAAACAAAATGATTTATTGATATCTTTTGTACAAAAATTAGGCAAAATTTACTATCTTATTACCTACTCTAAGAACCTATCTAAATTGGAAATATTTAGACTTTATATTCTTTGTCCAGGTAAAAAAAATAGATAACTATTTGTTTCTAAAAAATGGCTTGCACTGAATTGGTATTTTTAAAATAATATAATAAAACTATTGAGAAAGGTAAAAGCAGTACCTATAACTTTAATACTTTATAAGTTGCTCTATCGGTCATCAGTTCAAGTTTTATTTATTTCTATTAATTCTAATAAAATCTATGACAAGAGACTCATTAAATTACAAAATAAAAAACCATTTAAAACTTACATATTCTTTTAATTATCAAAAAATCACATCAATAATTTTCAACACTCTATACAGTAGCTCTATGAACAACAAAATGAGATATTAGTATAACCTCAAAATTACCTGTCATAACCTGATATGTTTATTTTATACTATTTTTATTATTTGGCAAAACTTGCTATGTCTACATATCAGGTTTAGCCAAAACATGAAATTACTGAAAAAAACATATCAAATAATGACTATATTCCGGCGCATCCACAATTTTCCAGATAGAGATATCATGTCTTGCCAATATAAAATTTGGTATTTGGGTCATATGGTGACAAAATCTCGAAAACATAAAACAGTGAGTTATCATGTTTTGCCAAATAGCCACAGAAATGACCAATGACATCCACTCTTAGATCGCTTTGTCTTATGGGATTGACATTTTGGTTTGAAGACATTTTATAGTTTTGATTTAGGTCTATTTTTTTCAAGATAATTGATAAAATTTAAATTGAGTTTGATGATAATAAAGATAATAATTTTTATATATTTTTCATTTTCACTCATGGGTTTCATCTAGTCAAATATTAAATAATAAAACTGATAATGATTCAAATATTTTTGAAAATAAAAGATTTGTGCAATATACAATATAAGATTTTTTTGTTTCCACCAATCTCCGTTATTAACATTTGAGCATTGTATATAATAAAGTTAATAATAATATAGAAAATTGATAATATTAAGTAATATTAGTTATTAAATTTTTTTATTAGGATTAAATTATAAAATATAGTTTAACAGCACTGAAGATTTAATTAAATTAGATTATGTTACATTTAATCCGTTAGATTTTTAAAATTTTAAAAAACTAAATTTTATAATTTACCATTACCTGATCGACCGCTATCTTAAAATAAAAAAAAAATGGGTCAAAATGAGAAACAATCCATCAAATTTTCATAATTGTTAATAAAAAGATTACAATGTAAAATGAAATTCTTAAATACCTTCAAAACAATAAAAAGAAAATTACCACTAAATATTACATAAAAATAAATTGCATCAACCTGAACTTAATCAATTATTATTGTATTACTGGCCAGCTCTGGTATTTTGAAACTTACCACAATATTTTATTTGAAATTGAACAATAATTTTTTAAACAAATATAAGCACGCAACATTAATATAGAGAAAAAATAAAAATAAATTGTATTTTTTCCTTTTTTAGTCAATTGATTCGTACTGTAGAATATCAATAATAATCACAATTATTAGAATGTTTCTCCAACCTTGTAAATAAATCGAATGTTAACACGATTAGATTTTTTATTTCGAATAAATGGGAAGCTCTTGAATTTCGTTATGGTTACATGGATCAATAAATACATTTTTTTTTTAAATTGTCCTCTTCTCAAATATCCTGCTTCTGCAACAATATTGGTTATCCCTCTATAAACCTGAAAATAAAAAAAGAGAAGTTTCAGTTAAAAAAGCACCACCATACATTAAAAATAAAATATCCTAAACACATTTTTGTAATAGGTAAGTACATGGTTTATTTGTGGGATGGACCTATATTTTCAAAGCGATGGAATGATAAAAAAACTCGATCTGAACACAGGATAAATACTGAAGAAATAACCACGAACAGATATAGTAAAACTGACCAATATAATGAGCTTAACATATTTCACTTCTATGGAAAACTACCGAGGTAATAATAATACTCAAACGGATAAACCATAATAATGACATAACTTAACCAATATCGTTTGAACCTGTGATATTAAAACTATTTATGTAATACTCTTACTGCTCTTAAGACGACTGAATAAGATAATTGACATAATCAACTTATCATATCCCTCCTATTCGGATTTCGGAATAAACATTCTACGTTTGATCAGAAATGATTCCCGATGCAATAAATCTAACTACTAAAATCGTATCTGTCACAGAGAACATTTAAACTTAAAATAGAAAACGAATACTACAAACCCTGAGAACCAGGTTATTCTATATACATTTTTTATAAATTGATATTTTAGTATTCTATGTCCGAAGCTCTAGCGACCAAACTAATCCATGTTACTCTGCGCCAATTGGTTCAATACTTACAGAGAGTCTAACTTATACTATGTCCATTTAAAGTTTTTAATGTTCGAACCATGTTGTCTGTGTCCTTACCAGCCAATAGAATTTAGCCATGTGAACCATGTGAGGACATGGAATAATTTGGCATAAATGTTGTAGTCAGAAAATTTTGAACAACGTTCATGTGTAGTGTCCGCGATTACAGTGTTTAAATCGTGAAAATAAGTTAAAAATAATGAGCTATTCGAAAGAATACCTTTGGGAACCTTACCAGGACTAGGGGTCGGAGTATGAACCAACTAAAACGAATAATAAACGAAAAATGTAAGTTATTAATTTCTAAAATATTATAGGTTAGAATTAATTTTTATTATTTTTTTAGTATCGATGCAAATGAAGGTTCTAGTGTCCATACCGATGAGAATTCTTTTGATTCCGATATTTTAAGCAAAGGTTCAGGTCACAAAAATATCACTTTGATAAGAGGCAAAATGAAATTCCTGGAACATCAAGTGCTAGGAATTTAGATAATCCAAGCAAAACAGACGGTACATCGGTCGAATTAGACGGTCGGGATGATATGCCAGACGACGATGATGTTCAAAAGTATTTTAAAACTGTTATTACCTAAATTAATGTATTGATTAATTTTGATTGCATGTTTATTGTTTAAAACAAAATCCACTAGACAACGAAAAGCCAACCAGAAAGATTGGAAGAAAAATATAAGACAAAGGTTACGACAAAGTGGAAAAGAATTTAAAAGATGCCAAGGCCAGGCCGTTAGGGCTAATGGTTTCAGAAGAAACTGTGTAAACTGTCGGTGCTTTAAATGTCTGAACAATTTCAGTGAAGAAGAAACAGCGGTAATTCATAATGAATTTTGGACAAATACTGATGACGCGAAAGGACATTTTTACGAGAAAACAACAGAAAGATACTGGGTGGAACGCCAGAGAAACAGAAATGTGAGAGCGAGAACCAAGACTTTTTCTTAGTATTTTTTCATCAAGAACGAACAGAAAATTCGCGTCTGAAAAAATTTTTACTTGGGAGTTACTTGTAGATATAAGTCAAATCAGAATTGCTTATTTTTACAGCAAAAACCGAACGGGAATCACAAGTACTCCCAGTCAGTACCAAACAGGATGCCGCACAAAAATAGAATTAATAAAGATCATAGACAATTAATCAGAGATCACATAAATATGTTCCTTCGTATACCTTCACACTACTGTGGAAGTAACTTTTAGAAAGGACATTATCCTTGTCAAAAATGTATGAGCTTTATATAAAGTGGTGCAAAGAAAAAAAAAATTAGCTCCACAGAAGAAGTGGCTTTACTACCATATTTTTAACTTTGAATTTAATCTGGGATTACATGCTTCAAAAAAGGATTTATGCAACGTGTGCACAGAATATAATATTAAAAAAGATGAACAAACAATAAACGAAGATTTAAATAAAAAATACAATGAGCATATAAAAGCTAAGCTAGAAGCTCATGAAGAAAAAAACAGGACATAGAAGCCTGTAAGAATGATCTGTCTACAGCTCTACTATGTTTTGATATGCAAAGTGTTCTAACATGTCCACAAACACAGGTTTCAATATCTTATTATAAAAAAGTACGCAGTTTATAATTTGACTGGTAATAACATTGTTAAAAAGACCGGTTATTGCATTTTGTGGCACGAACTGTTGGGTGGAAGAAAAGTTGTCGATATTGCAAGTGCTTTGTATATTCTCCATGAAAAACTGTTGTCGGATAGACCTAATGTAACAAAACTGATTTTGTGGTCGGATGCATGCGTGCCTCAGAATAAAAACTCGCACATGTCGGCAGTTCTATTGTATTTTTTAAGTATCCTGAAATTGAGTGCATTGTTCAAAAATGTTAAGTCCCAGGATATCTGTGTCCAGGAAGTTGACGCAATACATAGTACCCTGGACCGAAATTGAAACAAATTGGAACTCCACAGTTCACTAGCTATTTACAAAGCAATAAAAAATGTTCGAGCAAGAAAGCCGTATCTTATAGTCCAAATGAATAAAAATAAATTTGTGGATTTTAAACCAATATTAAAATCTGTAACTTTGACAACAGTGCCGTACAAAAACTTAGTTCAAATTTCTTATAAGCATAATTCCAACTGTATTAAATACAAATTACATTTCTCCGATGAAAATCCCATTGTGGTGAAGTTTTTGAAACGTACCAGACAAAATAACAAACAAGCGTTTTTTAAAAGTTTTCCGATGCCTACAGTTCAGCTCCCTCTTCCCAATTTGCCAGCAGATAAAATTGAACACATCAGAAGCTTAATCACTTCTCAGCAGTGGACTTGCAGTTTTGGAGATGCATTTTAAACAATTTTTAGTACCCATTTCAAATTACTAAGTATGTAAATCAAAGTCTGTTTATTTTGCTACTGCTTTTTTGAATTAAAATAAATATGTTACTTAACAATCACTGTTTTTCGTTATTAGAAAAAAGGGTTGTGGACATAGAATAATTTATTTTGCTAAAAATTTTTCTGTAAAAAGTGATTTATTATATGTCCGCAACAGATTTTTTTTCTATGATAATTTTTCCTAGACAGTCAAAATTTTTAGTGTATTTTTGGGTTTCTCTCTTTTACAAACCCATAAACTAAACTAAATTAGAGTTCTAAAAAACAAAATCATTAAGATGTACACAATAGAAGCTGGTGAAATTAAAAATGCTCTACTGTAAAATTTTGAAAAATGGACATAGGATAACCTGGTTCTAAGGCGACGATATGCTGTGGCCCTACAGGGAAGTGTTCTTGGGCTAGTTATATTTTCTGATGATACAGCTGTCTTTACCCCATGATCATCTATAGAAGTAACAACAGTTAGGCTTCTAAAACGAAATCAGTAGCATACAAGTCTGATCCATACAGTGGAACAATGAATTATTCGATAACATTAAATTTGCCAAAAGATGAATACCAATAAATAATATTATACCAAATAAAAAAACTGAACAGCTAAATATTAAATATAGAAATATGTATTGGTTGATAGAAAGGTACTCTTCACTTTCCTGGGGCATATTTCATAAAATTACTTTGCAACTTTTCACTTTGCATTTTGCAAATTTACGAATACCAAATATTTGTTTTCAAAAAATAACATCCTTAACTTTGCAGATTATCTATTTTTTATTTTCAATTTTCAAATTACTTATCAAATTATACTTTTTAATTTATCAATTTCTCGTTTATAAAGTAAAAATTTAGTAAAATATGCAAAATGCAAAGTGAAAAGTTGCAAAGTAGGCCCCTAGTTTACAAACAAGTTCTAAAGCCAGAATGGACATATGGTCTACAAGAAAAAACAATTAAAATTTCCTAGAAATAGTTCAATACTAAATTCTCAGAATCATAATTAATGCTTCTTGATATGTTCGAAATGAAGACCTGCACCAGAATTCCAAATTAAATAAATTCCAGTAGAAATTAAGAAACATAAGGAGAGGCTCCACAGATACACCAACTTTTGGACAATCAGAACTTAGTGAGTTGACTAAAAAGAGTCAAACCTTTTTAATAAAGTGAAGTGATAGTAATAAAGCACAGTATACACGTATGCAGAATAAAATGTTAATAATTAGTATTGAAAACAGGTAAAATCTAGATTTAAATTTTTTTTTAGTAAATTAGGTTATTATAAAAACACTGATTAACCTTGTAAAACTAGGTGCATTCGGACTTACTTAAAAAAAAAAACGGAAATTTTAACATATGGAACTCAAAATATGTAGAGATGCCACTAAAGAAGTGTAAAAATCAATTACTTTTAAAAAAATATATAGGTAAGCTCAAGCTACTAATAGCAGCAACAAGAGGACGAACTTCAATGTCTTGATCGGTTTAGGTGCTTCAATCATAGACTAATGTCATGGGAGTGCCTAATGACGAGAAATTCTGATCGGAAAGGGGTTAGTCATGACTGCTAAAGAGATTCCAGTTCGTCTTATAAACGTTAATGATTTCATTCATTTTTTTCAATTTTTATTTTCTTGTGTCTTACTTATTGTTAAGAATTTATTTATTTTAAATTTTACGCTTTGAACTTGCTTTATGCCTAAAAAAAATAAAGTAATAATAACATAAATACAAGTTCGTTTTTTTATTTCCAACATGTTACGCCTCTCTTTATTACCTAGTCTAAGATTTATAAAGGTGCGTCCTCACCGAATCAACACTGTCGATCGACTCTGTCTATCAACGTTGTCGACTTTGTGTGTACGCGGCAATCGACGATGTCGATCGACAAAATAAATCGATCGACATGTCGATTTGTTTTCTATCGCCTGTCAGTAAACATGAAAGAGCAGTCGATCGACTTTAGTGTGTACTAAGTACTCAGTAACGTCTTGCCTTGTTGATATTGTAGTTGTGTTTTCGTTGGAGAAATGGAATAGGAACAAGATAAAGTCATAGCCTTTATTGAGGCATATGAACTGAGAACAAATTTATGGTATTCTAAAACCAAAAACTATAAGAGCAGAAACTTGAGGCACGCTGCCACCATTACACCTGTATTCATCTTTTTTAAATCTTCTATCAAATTACTAGCGTTGTATCTAGTTCTACTCTTTGAAGACTTGGTCGAACCCAAAATCTTCTTGTGCGTGCAAGTTTCCTTTTTTTAGTCGCGGCACAAGCAAACATAATGTTACCTTCATTAGACATGTTAATTTCGACTGATCGACAAACATTTCTGTCAACTCTGGTGTGGACAGATGCAGTTTTGTAGACTTGTTGATCAACAATGTCAATAGACAGAGTCGATCGGCAGTGTTGATTCGGTAAAGACGCACATAAATAATCTATTTTTTAAGGATATTTGACACATGGGATCTGTGTGGGAAGTAGCGATCCCAGAATAAGTAACGCCTACTTTGCTATTTTCTATTTTATATTTGGAGCTAGTCCAGAATAAAGTGTTGGAAACATGATTTAGAGAACCACAAAAACCTAAATATCGATTCTATACAATTATTATGGTTCTTAAGTAATATTAAAATTGGGACAAAACTCAGTATCTCACGGAAATCTGCTAGGTGAGGAGATGTCTAGTGATTATGCGTCAGTTAGGTATTTTTTTCTTGAATTTTCAGAATGGAGGTAGTCGATTCGATTGCCAACAAGTTTGTAGGATAATAGATATTAGAAACATTCAGAGTTCGAGAGATCTATTGTTTCCTGGGTAGTTGAAAACAGGCGTAGATAAAAGGTTCTTTATGATAGATTCAATGGATCCGACTCTCCCACACATGGAGGACCAATTGAAGGTATGAGTTAATTACACTCCAGGTAGTCCACTTTAGATTTATTGTAACTTCTAATTCACAGGAGGTGGATTTCGTGAGTGGTGATATTTGAAAACGATAAATTGTGTCTTTTGTGTATTGAGTAAAACTCCCTGCACCAGCACTACTTCAGCAGATTATGGGCTCGGATACGCAGACCAGTATCTTCGGCATTCGTAACGATGATGAAGATTTTGAGTTTATTTGGAGCGCATTTCTTCTTGAAAGGCTGAAAATCTGTATTTATTTTTAAAATAAAAATAATATCAGGGACATTAAGATTGCATTATGATTAGTATTAAAATTGGTATATGGGGAAGTACCACAAGCGAACGAAGAAGCGAGTCAAATCCATAAAACAGAAAACATAACACATATAATTAATTAATAAAAATGTTTTAGTATCATGTTCCACATTATATATGCAAATCTTTTACTAACTATTTCACAAAACAGTAAGTGGAACCATTAATCTTTCAAATAAAGATTTTTAAATAATACAGTGATTGATTATTCTCAAATACAGTTAAAATTTCGGAAGCCATTAGAATTTCAATCTTTAAACACAATGGAAGTGTTGATACCTTCGATCCGTTTCAGGTCAATTCATTTTTTTTTGTTCTGAAAAATTTTTCTTCATTTAGTATTTGTCAC